TGCGCTGCCCCCCTGCAGGCCACCCATCTGCCACGCCAGGTGGACGTTCGTCTGTGCGTGCCCCGGCTCAGCGCTCGCGACGGAGTCGCTTCGCCGCTGGAGAGAAGCGTGCGTGCGTTGTCCTGCATGTCCCCCTCTGTCCGTTCGCTTCCCCTTCCCTCGCGCTTCTCTCCCCCCCTTCGTCGGCCCCCGTCTCGTGCCCCCACCCTCGCGGCTGCCCCCCGCGAGTCGTGCTGCCCAGTTCCCTGTGGGTGCGCCTGGCTCGCCCAGCCGCCGCTGTGAGTTGGGTCCGCACGCGCGCGCTCTTCGCGCCGGACCGCCTGCCCGACTCCGCCCCGCTGCTGCGCGCGTGGCCGCAGCCCCGACAGAAACGTGTGCGCGCGCGTGCGGGTCACGGGTGCCGGCGGCTGCGAGGCCCTGGCCGACCACAACTCGAAACACGAAAACGGCATGAACATAAACTTTTGGCGATCCGCCCGGATTGCTCGGATCCGCGCTGGGCATCCCTGGCGGCGCCTCGGGCGCCGCCCCTGGCGCGGTTCGCGCGCCAGGGAGGGGGGCCCAGCGCGTATACAAGAACTTCGCGTGGACCTCCAACAGTTTATGGTTATGCCGTTTGTCGTCCTCTAAAAAACAAACGACATCACCCCACCTACTGCCCTTCATGTTGCGCTACGGCCCATCGGGGGCCGTAAAGCGTATACCACCAGGAAGCCCACGCCAGATTTGCTGGTATACGCTAAGCCCCGTGGGGCAGTAGGTGGGCTGGTTTCGTTTGTTTTCTGGTCCTCCTAAGTGGTCTCAGAGTGCTCGGGTGGGCGAAGACGCGCGCGCTTCATCGTTGTCCGACCTTTACGCCCTGTCGCCGCGCGCAGGGCCGCGACGCCAAAAAACGTGCGTGCGACTGTTATGTCCCTCCGGGCCTCGGGTCTGCGCTCTCCTGCTTGTTCTGCACGTGTCAGGCTTCGCTTCCCCGCGCACCAAGTTGGGGGTGCTTCTCCGTGCGCGTCCGCTCGCCCTGCGCAGTTCACCACCTGCAGCGCCTGATGGCATTCATGCGGCAGCTCGCGTCCCTTGCTATCACTCGCCACGATGACGTCGCCAGGCTGGCAGAGGAAAACGTGCGTGTGCTCGACCTCCTCCCTCGTCCCTTCGCCGGCTGTGCCGGCTGACTGAACTCGCTGGTTTTCTAGCGTATGTCACAGGTTCTTCTGCCCCGCCTCCGCCCACGGGCGGCTCTCAGGGACCCACACTTTTTCCGCATGGCTTCATGGGGAGGCTAATCACATTGAGTCTTGTCCGCCACTGGATTCCGCTGGCGGGCCTTCATTTTTCAGCTCGTGGGAGAAGTTCCGGCATCCGTCGTCCGTCGTCGTCGGCGGCGGCGACGGCGTCGTCTATGTGGCCGACCCCAGCGCCCAGAGGTCGAGGAGGAGACGCGCGCGGAGTCCATCGGCGGGCGCTGGCTGGGCAGGGCAATGACGTCGTTGACCGCGTCCAGAGCCCAACGCAGCCCCCGCGACGAGGTCTTTTGCTGCCGCCGCTCTTTCCCCCCAGACCTACAGCGCCGCGAGCATCACGACGGCCGCTTTTTCTCCAGTCGAGATACGGCTTCGCCGTCACCGCATCTTCTCCCTCGGCGGAAGCCGGCGGAAGGCCAGCGGAATGGGGCGGAAGTGCAACGGCAGCGCGGGCCCGCCGGCGAAAGCCATCGGAAGGCGACTGAAGTGGAGATGAGACATCAACAGCGCTTTGGTGTTCAGGGATTTCGGAATCGGCCAATGAGTCTTGTCCAGCGGGTTCTTGCTCGCTCTGTGAGGAGAGGTACGGTCTCGGGTCCTTTGTCAGGTTGATCAGTCGCGGCCCGCGCAGGTATCATGCTGTGGTGTGCCGCGCTGTCCTGGGCCATGCTCCACCAAGATACTAAAGGCCATGTTGTCCTTTGCCATTCGAGGCTGTGTATAGGAATGCCATATCCAGCGTGGACCCAAAACAATGGTTTCTTGCAATCTATGCGGTGCAGCCTAGGTGGTACAGTCAATGTGGTGCAATCTAGGTCGTGCAATCCATGTGGTGCAGTTTTTGTGGTGCAAGGCAATGCGAAGCATTGCAAAGCAATGCAAAGCAATTCAAAGCAATGCAAAGCAACGCAAAGCAATGCAAAGCAATGCGAAGCAATGCAACGCAATGCGAAGCAATGCGCAGCAATGCACCCCAATGCAAAGCAATGCAAATCAAAGCAAAGCAACGCAAGCCATATCTATGATAATTGTTATCGAACAACAATGAACAGCAATGCGAAGCAATGCAGAGCAATGCGAAGCAATGCGCAGCAATGCACCACATCAATGCATCGCAATGCCAAGCAATTCAGCACGATGCAACGCGATTCAACGCAAAGCAACGCGAAGCAATGCAACGTACGGCAAAAAGCAACGCAAAGCAATGCAAAGCAATGCACAGCGACGCCCAGCACTTCAGAACAGTGCAACGCGCTGCAAAGCAATCCATGGCAGTGTAAATGTGATGCAAAGCAGTGGAACGCAGTGCGGCGCACCGCACCAGCACTGCAGCGCCAGTGCTGCTGCGGCGCAGTGCAGTGCGATTGACATGCACTGCGATGCGCTTTGCATTTCGAAGGATTACATTTCGAAGGAATGCATCTCGAAATTCCTGCGATTGATTGCAGAGCAGTGCGCAGCAGTGCCATGCCATGCGTTTGCGGTGCGCTGCCATGCGATCGACCTGCGATGCGACTTTGCAGTGCCACGGGGTCGGCGGGGGGGAAGGGGGCGGGGCGCCACGGGGCGGCGCCGACGGGCGGGCACGGGGGCCGCCCCCGGGGCGGCAACCGGCCCTTTTTTTTTCGATCCTCCTCCTCCCCCTCCTCCCTCCTCCTCCTCCTCCTCCTCCTCCCCTCCTCCCCCTCCCCCTCCTCCTCCTCCTCCCTCTCCCCCTCCTCCTCCCTCTCCCCCTCCTCCTCATCCGCCTCCTCCTCCTCCTCCTCCTCCTCCTCCTCCTCCTCCTCCTCAAATGGTGCGGCGACGGATGGGAACGGGGCCGCCACGGGGGCAAACGGGTTCAGTTCCCGGTGCGCCAAGGCGTATCCCGCCATCTGCGATTACGGCAGCCCTGAAGACCCAGAGGTAAGAAGCAAACCCGGCTTCTGGCAGCTCAAGAGCTGGGCGGTGCAGCTGGCGCGCCAGGCCATCACGGAGGAAGTCGAGAATTCTCGCTCCAGAAAGGGAGAAGGCTTCGAGGCGACCGCCCACGGCAAATCCAACATCCTGACCAAACTGAAGCGTCCACTCCCTGGAGGCAGCACGACGGTGGCGGCCATGCAGACCGAGAACGGGGACGGACAAGGCAGACGAGATGGCTGAAGCTCTCCGCATGCATTGGGATCGGGTTTTTCACGGCACCGCTGGTGGACATGAGAGAGATGCGACGATGGCTGGGTTCCCTGCGCCCTGTTGCGCCTGGCGAACAGGTGCAGGAGCCTGTGGTGCAGCCCGGTGGCCCTCTCCGCAGGCGTGGCCGCCCCCAGCAAGCCGTTCCGAGCGAGGCTTGGAAGTGGCGGGCCCGCCGCTGCGACATCGAGCTGGCGATCCGTGCTGCTGGCGGCACGTCGCTGGGCCCAGACGGGATTCCTTTCGCAGCGTGGAGAGCTATCAAAGGGCTGGGGGTATCTATCCTCCTCGGCGTCGCCAGGGAGCTGGAGCGCGAGGGCGCGCCAGAGCTGTTGCAACAGGCGTACGCGGACGAGAGCGAGAGCGGCACTCACAGGTACAATCTCGGCACGCTGGTGTGCTTACCTAAGGCCCCCAGCGGGGAGGATCCTGAGCTGGGTACGTGCTTTCGGGCCGCGGAAACCCGCCCACTCTCCATTGTGAACTGCGACAACAGACAGGTCGCAAACGCAATGAGACTACGCTGGGAGGAACACTTAAGCGGATTCGTCCGCGAGAGACAGCAAGGATTTCTCCGAGGTCGCTCCATCCTGAAAGATTTGCTCGAGGTAGAGTTGGCGATGATGCTTCGCTCCTTGCAGGACGACAACGCCGCGGCGGTATTTCTCGACTTTGCTGCTGCGTTCCCTTCCCTTCCATTGCGCAGCAGTACATCCACGAAAGCTTGGTGCACATCGTGGTTCCCGCTGATGCAGCCACTGCTTTTCGACGTGTTCGTGAGGAGGCAGACATTCGTCGGGTTCAGCATGTCTTCAGAAATCCGACAAGGGTGCCCTCTCAGCCCCCTCATCTACGCCGTCGCCGCCGATCTCCTCCTGGACGCCATAGAGGAGAGGACGCCAGAGGCTTTCGTGAGGGCCTGCGCCGACGACACCGCTTTGGTGCTTCAGGACTTCTGGAAAGCCGCCCCGGGCTTGGCCGACACGTTTGATGTCCTCGAAAGAATATCAGGCCTCAGGCTCAACATGACGAAGTCGCACGTGATACCCCTCAACGCAGCCACGTTCGACGACTTCGAACGCTGGAAGGCGAACGAGGTCCTTGAGTGGGCTACAGTGCCGATGTGCCCATGCTGTGAATATCTGTGCTTCCAGATGGGACCTGGCAAGGGCGACTCTTCGTGGCGCACGCCGTGGCAGAAATACTTGGGCCGGGTTGATATGTGGCAAGACCAGCCTCTGGGACTTCACTGGAACACGAGGGTCTACAACACGTTTGTCATTCCTATATTGGGATACGTGGCTCAACTCGAGACGCCCCCATCTTGGCTGGTCGAGTCGGCAGGCCACTCTTTACGGAAGGCAGCCAAAGGCCCCAGGCCATCTTCTCGGTGTAGTCTGATGGGAGCGGGCGGGTAGCTGGTGATGACGCGTCTCGCACCTCGCTGGCGAAGAGGTCGGGGTTTCTGGGGTTGGGCCACGGCGTGAACTCGGCGCCGTTCTCCAAATCGGCGGACGCCACGCGCCAGTGCACCTCGAGGTCCGTGACCAAGATGACGTGAGACTTGGCGAGGATGGCGTTGAAATCCTCCTTGGTCTTCACTTCCTCCAGAAATGGGGCGGCGATGCGTCTGAAATGGTCCAAGACGTACTAGTTGCGCGTCGCTGCATCTAGCGCCGCCCTCTCGGCGTCGCGATCGTAAGGGTTAGCGACGGCTTGCCTGCACGACCCGTGCTCAAAAGCGGAGCCACCCCACCGAACCCACAGCAGAGCATCCTCCTCCTTGGGGTTCAGGAAAGCCGGTGTCTCCCTGCCGGGTCTAGAATGTGCTTGTGGTTGGATATTTCTTGTTCCTTTCTTCCTTTGGTCTCCCTTCTCCGCTAGAGCTGTTCTATCGCCCGCACACTCTCTGCCCAATTCGGAGGCTTCGCCGCTGTTTGGCCTGGGCGTGGACGCACATCCTTTTACTGCATGAAGAGTCAAAGCCCCGCAATGTACATTTTATTGCCGCTATGCTTTCCCTCGTACAGCTTCCAAACCCCACAATTCTAGTTTCTCCTTGTCCCCTTCCGAATGTGGTGATGCCTACCCCGTCGGCCACTACAGTGCGCTGCCTCTCCGGGGGCCTGCAACTGTTCGTCGATGCGAGCTGTGTTATGATCGGTTGTGGCCAGCGTTGTCATCGGTCCGATTGTTGGGACAGCTTGCGCCACATGGTTTGCGCCGCGTAGATAGCACCACGTTTATTCTTCCACGTAGATTGCACCACATAGAGACACCACGCACGCAGATTTCAAGAAACACATTTGTTGGAGCTCACACAGGCTAGCCTATGTATGTGTTACAGTGTGTACATCTATATATTCTGTATGTATTCGTTTATTCCTAATCGGCATGTGCACATAGGTGGCGTGGTGTAAGGCAACGCTATTTCATACCGTGGTCCGCGATGGCATGCGCTACCGCGGTATGGTTTGTAAACGTATGCACTTTTGTTATGTGCACATGCCACGCTATGTTCTGCTGTGCTACACCATGTGTTACGGTGTCACCATACGCGATGACATTGTAGCCAATCCGAGTGCCATTCTATGTTTTTGGTGGTGCTATGCTATGCTATGACCTGCTTGGTTGTAACATACTTGTGTTCCACGGCGCACCGTTTCGTTGTATTCATTGTTTTGCACCGCGGACGTGTGTGCCGTCAGGAATAATGAATTCCCTCAGTGGAGGTCGTGCCAGGGACCATGACATTTGGCGCTTCGTTTTTGGCTCGATGCGTGGCCCTTCGGACGTTCGACGTCTTCCCACGGCTGGCTTTCCAACCCGAACCGTTTTTGACGGCCCCAAAGTCCGAACCTGGTCTACAGAGGCCAAATATGGCGGAAAACCCGCCGCCTTGTTTTTTTCGGGCGTTGGAGATCCAGAGAGGCGGAGAGGCGGATGAGGAGGGGGAGGAGGAGGAGGAGGAGGAGGAGGAGGAGGAGGAGGAGGAGGAGGAGGAGGAGAAGGAGGAGGAGGAGGAGGGAAAAGGGAGGCTGAGACGCAGAACGCCGCCGCCGATGTCGCCGATGACGTCAGCGACGACGACGCCGCCGACGACGACAACGCCGATGGTGCCGCGTCTGACGCCGCTAAGGACGGCAACGACGCCGACGAAGCCGACGACGACGACCTCCACGACGACTACGCCGACGACGACGACGCCGGCGGCGACGACGCCGCTGACGACAACAACAACGACGACGACGGCGCCGACGACGACGCCCTCCACGACGACGACGACGCCGGCGACGCCGCCGGCGACGATGAAGCCGACGACGATGACGACGACGAAGCCAGCGACGATGACGCCGACGCCGACGACGACGACGCCACTGACGACGACGACGACGCAGATGACGACGCCGCCGCTGCCGCCGTCGCCGACGACGACGACGATGACGACGACGACGACGATGACGACCCTGAGATCCGACATTGCGAGCAAAAATGCAACATCGCGGACAATCACGACCGGAGCCCTCGACCCCATGATTTCTGCTGCACTTGTTCAGACGGATCGATCTGTGATGGCCCCGGGGGCCCGAAACCAGACCGAAACGCCAGGCGTGACGAAGTAGCAACGCCAGGCTCTGCGGCGACGATGGCCACGAGGGCGACGTCGACGTCGCGAGCCGCGCGAGGTCCCGGCGGCGCCGAGGCCCTCGCCGCGGCCCTCGCCGCGGCCCTCGCCGCGGCGGAGCCCCCGGAGCGACGACGCCGCCCTCGCCGCGGCCGCGCTGCCGGGCGACGAGGAGGCGAGCCTGCCGCACGTGCACTTCACGCCTCCGCCGAGGCCCCTGGGCCAGGCGCGGGCCGTCGGGGGGCAGCAGCGCAGAGAGGATCAGAGGAGCTCCGAGGTCCGAGGCTTTCGGGCGGCTTCGGGGGGTCTCGGCGGTCTTCCCGGCCTCGGGATGCCTTTCAGCAGCTGCGCCTCGCCGAGAGCGTTCCGGGGGTGGCCGGATCGCCCCGAGCGGCCGATGGAGGCCCGAGAGGCGGCCCCTAAACCACTTAGGAACGCGGGGGTGGGCTCGGGGGGTCGGATGTGGAGGAGATGCCGATCTCGCTGCTCCGTCCTGGAGAGACCTCGTCGCCACGGCTGGATCCGCCTCGAGATTCTGGTCAGATTACATCCCAGGAGAGGTCCAGGGAGTAGCAGTACGGGTACCTGTTATGCTCCCCCAGGAGAGGGCGACGCCGAAGGCTCCGGGTCGCGCATAGGCAGTCCCCGCAGGCAGTCCCAGCTGGCCTCGACAGGCCTCCCTAGCAGTCCGGGGCGGTCTAAACACCGTGGCGCCGCCCCCGGCGGCGCCCCTGGGGCGCTCCGCGCCCCAGCAGGGTTGGTTGGGGTGTTGAGACCGCCCTGGACTGCTAGGGAGGCCTGCTGAGGCCAGCTGGGACAGCCTGGGGGAGTTGTCTGTGCGTAATCCGAAGCCTTACGACGCTGACGCCACCACCATGCATCCCTGTGCTCACCAGGCGAGCGGGCGGCGGGCGGGCGGGCGACTGGCGACAAGCAGACACGGACGGACGGACGACGGACGGGACAGCGATATCGACGACGGGCGATGACGACGGCGACGGCGGACGACTACCGAGGACGGACGGCGATGGCGGGTGGCGGCGGCGCGGGATGTCCGCCTTTAGGGCCCGTCTGGCGAGGTCCGCCCCCAGGGGAGGGACGCCCGCGCGCGGTGAATCTCGCGCGGGAGCGCGGAGGGGCAGCGAGGAAAGGCAGGGCACCGATCGGAGGGACAGGCTCAGGGGCACCCCAGGGGCAACGGCTGACGCTCCTCCTCGGCGCCGCGCCCGCCGCGCCCGGGTGTGCTGCCCAGTCCCAAGTTGCCCTCGGGCCGACGCCGCCGCCTCGGCCGGGTGGGCGGACCACCAATCCATGCGGCCACGTCTGAACGAGCATGGCGCGGGTCTTTACCCAAGTCTCCCACCAGTGCCCAGGACCACCGCTTGTCCCATGCAGTGTGGCGTGTACCAGCCTTGCCTGCACACGCGCTTTGGGAGCATCTGCCCAAGGTGCGGGCCTGCTGCAAGAGCCGTAGCTGCAGACGCCGCTCCTGCCGTCGACGACGGCGCCCCCTGGTCGCGCAACTTACCCACCTGGCATGAGGTTTCCTCCCGATGGGCGAGCCCTAAGCACTACGTGCCCAAGGTGGCGCGGGAGCTCTGGGCACGGTGCCTGACGCAAGCGGCGGCGCTTGCCGTGTATCACAACACGGACGAGGCAGGGCACCCGTTCGTTATGCTGCCTAAGTGTGTTCTCCGCCCGCACGCGCGCGGGGGTCGCAGCAGCTGGACCGCAGCGGAGGCGGTGACCAACAACTTTTGCCGCAGATGGCTGGAGGGACGGCGCTCCTCGCTCTGGGCAGAGGCTGCGGGCTGGCGCGGCAACGAGAAACCGTCCCGCGCGGCACAGAGCGCAGCGCTGCCTGGAACTCGCGGCGGACGCGCAGTACGCCCAAAACTGCAGGGCACTCACCAGCACGCCTCCCGTGGAGTTTACCGCGGCAGATGCTGGAGCAGATGCGGCAGAAGCATCCGCGCAGCCAGCGGCCCGTCGACCCAGGCAGCTTCTCCGCAGTCAGCGCTGCCGCAGCGCCCCAGCTTGACGCTGCCTCGGGCGAGCGCGAGGTGCGGGCTTCTCCTTGCGGGTCCGCCCCGAGCCCCTCCTGCCTGTGCAGACGGCCGCGCACCGCGACGAGGTGCTGCAGCAGTGCAGCTGCTCGGTCTGGCCAAACTCCTCGCCAAGGGCCAAGCGCCCCCACTCGTGGCGGACTACCTGGCCGGCGCTTCGCTGGTCGCTCTGCACATGAAATACGGCGGCCGTCGACCAGTGGCCGTTGGGAAGACCGTGCTGCGCTTGGTGGCGACATGAATTTGCGGCCAGGTCTCTGACGCCGCCCGAGACCGACTCGCTCCCCTGCAGGTCGGCGTCGCCCTCCCAGGCGGCTGCGAGGCCGCGGTCCACGTCTCCCCCAACAACTTTTCGCGCAACGCGAACAGCAGGCATACTGTGTTTGTCAAACTGGACTTCAGCAGCGCCTTCAACATTTGGGACCGCCGAGCGTTCCTGCGGCGCGCCGCCGAGGGGGCCATCCGCCAGCCCGCCCGCCCCTGCCGTTAAGGGCGCCGTCGACTTGACTTTTCTTCCTGGTGGCGACTTGCGAGCCGGTGCGCGCCTCCTCCACTTGCTGGTCGGCGAGCTGGCGGTGGTGGGCGTCTGCCTCAGCACGGGACGGGGCCAGGAAAGTGCGAGGCAGTTCCCGCAGGCGGCAGCGACAGCGAGGTGGACCTGGACGCCTTCCCCGCTGGCTTCCGCCTGCGCAAAGACGGCTGCTTCGAACTCTTGGGCGCGCCGTCGGCAGCGACGCCTTCTGCGAGCGTGCGCAGAAAGGAGTTGACAAAGCGACGGAGCCCCTGGAAGCACGCCCAAGTCGCACTCTGCCTGCTGCGACAGTGCGCCGGGTATTGCAGGCTGAGCTACTCAGCGCGGGTCGTGCTGCCAACGGCGCAAACGAAGGCCCTGGTGATCATCGACGACGCGCTGTGCGGCCCTGCAGCGTCGAGCAACGCTGCGGCAGCTCCCCCGCTGGCGATTCTTGGGTGCAGGCGCGTCTAGCCCTCAAGGCAAGCGGCCTGGGGCTGCGCTCCGCGGGGCGGCGCGCGCCCCCCGCCTACCCGGCCTCTCGCGCGGCCATCGCGGCGCTCAGCCGACGCGCGACATGTCCAGGCGGGCCACTCCGACGCTGTCCCACAACGCCCGGCTCCCTCCGTCGGTAAACGCGAACCTCCGCGGCGACCAGATAGGATTCTCTGACAGCTCTGGGAACGGTCCTGCCTAGCCACCAGGGGGCACCTCTCTCTGGTGAGTGTGCCTTGCGCTGGCGCCTGGCTGCAGGCGCGGCCCTGCAGAGGCGTCTGTGGGTGCAGTTGGCAGACGAGGAGGTCTTCTGCCCCGCCTGCGACGGCGTCCTGGTCGTCTGCGTCGGCCGCGCGCTGGTGTGCCCCTGCTTCGGGGACCGCGTGAGGCGGCCTGCGCGGCCAGTATTTCTGCGCCGCGCAGGCCGCGGGCTTGCCTGGCGCCGAGCTGGAGGGTCCAGGCTTGCTGCGGTCCCGCGCGCAGGGCGAGGGCCAAGCCCTTGCAAATGGGGCTTTAGTGAACGGGCTGGTAGCTGAGGTTGCGTTTCCAATGGTGTTGTCAAAGAGTTGCTTTGCCGCGCATGCGAGCGAGGTACCCCCCCGCCCAGAGCTACTATGATGATGTGTCGGCGTTTTTGTCGTCCCGATTTAACACGCACTGGTGCGAGGTAAAGGCCCTGTTGCCCACCGCCCCGTTTACTGACTCCCCGTTTGCAGGGGCTCGGTGGGGCCCGCCCGAGACGGAGGAAAACGGCGGCGGAGTCGACGCAGGCGGCAGCCTCGCCGCCGTCGTTTGCCGGGGTGTTGCTGTCAATGCGGTGCCGATCGTTCGACGATTCGGAGCCCTCTTGGACCGTCTCGGGCGCCTCTTGGGGCCCTCTTGGATCGTTCTGGGGCGCCTGAAAGCCGCGCCCAGGAGGAAAACCATCTCTGGCCCGACCCTGCCGGGGACCTGGCCGGGCTACCTTGCGTCCGGGGGCCCCTAGAGGCCGCCCCCCGCGCGCGCGAAGTAGAAATATTGTACAGCAGTTGCCGGGAACGCCTGTGACCGTGCCTGGGTGGTAGGTCGGAGGACGAACGCCCACGAGTTTCCATGTGTGTGCACGTATAAAATGTGTTGTATACAGTATCCGTCGAAGGAGGGCAAGGAGGAGGGACGAGGAGGAGGAGGAGGAGGAGGTGGAGGCGGACGAAGAAGTGGAATAATATTGAGAATAATAAGCAGAGGAGGAGGATGAAGAGGAGGAGGCGGAGGAGGAGGAGGAGGCGGAGGAGGAGGAGGAGGAGGAGGAGGAGGGAGAGAGAAGAGAAAGCAGAGGAGGAGGACGATGAGGAGGATCAGGGGGAACAGTGTAAACTTAAACCGTATTAGCGATGTTGTCATAAATATTCTCCCTTTTTTTTCAGAATCCTACACAAATTTATTGTCCTTCGTGTTCGTGCCCCATTGGAAGACAACCGTTTGATAATCTCCAGTATTGCCAAAACGCTGTTTTTGGAATTTCAGCGCCGCGAATCAACGTGACTGCTGCGTCTTGACAATCCCAAATCGTACCGAAACGCCATTCCTGGGGCTTGAACGACTCGTATCGACGTGACAGTCGCGTCCTGATATCGCCAAGCCATGCCATCACACCATTCCTCGGAATTCAACCATGCTAGATCCTTCAAGCGGTTGTAGACTCGTCATGACGAATGCGTGTGGCGCTAAAGCGAGAACCACACATGGAAAACCACCCGCCTTCCATCCGTGAAATTGTTGCACATGTCAAGCTTCAGGACCATACGTGGCGAGGAAGTCTCAGGCGAAACGCCCAGCTCGCCCTACGGAAATGTCTGGGGGAGCGATAGAGAGGATTTATTTATTGGAGGTTGGGGGGTGAGTCCGACGTCAAACGGAGACCCCCTCTACCGGGAAATCGATTTCGGTTTCGGGTTCGTGTCGTGCGCGCCGTGCGTGCGTGCGGGCGAGGCGAAGATGCGTGGGCGGGCGAGAGGAAGTCCTCCTGTGGCTGGGCCGCGGCCAGACCAAATGTAACTCCTCCGGCGGCCGGTGCCCCGCGGTGTCCCGCCGGTGTTCCGAAATCCTCCTGTGGCTGGGCCGCGGGCGGACCAAACGTAACTCCTCCGGCGGCCGGAGCCCCGCGGTGTCCCGCCGGTGTCCCGCTGGTGTCCCGAAGTCCTCCTGTGGCTGGGCCGCGGCCGGACCAAATGATGCTCCTCCCGTCAAACGGTGGCCCGCGGTGTCCCGCTGGTGTCCCGCCGGTGTCCCGCCGTGGCTGCGGCGAGCTATCCAATACAAGTCTACATGCAAACCGACATGCAAACCGAAAGGCACATCGAAATGTAAATCGACATGCACATCCGAATGCAAATCGTCAGGCGCCGTGGGTTGCGTATTGAAAAATTGGCGCCTGCGGCGAGCTTTCCAATGCAAGTCGACATGCAAATCGACATGCAGATCGAAAAGCAAATCGACATGCACATCGATATGTCGAGTGCGCTTCGTCAACATCGCCACATCACATCACGCTCACGATGACAATCACACTACGCACTAGACTGCGCACCACAGGCATCGTCAGAACAACAGTCACCACTGTTGCCCATTGCTGCCCCCCCCCAACCTCCTTATCACCCGCAGGGTGGTCGTATAGGTAAGGACAAGGGATGCAGGGAGGAGGACCCAAAGCTTCCCCCAAGGGCGACGAGGCCAAGCCGTCGAAGCCCCGGCGGCGGATGTTCGGCTTCAGCCGGCCGCCGCGGGACGGGGTGGGCCAGCTGACGCCGGAGGGCGCAGGCACCAACGAGGAACCCTTGTTAGGGTAGGAGGAGGAGGAGGAGGAGGAGGAGTTGGAGTTGGAGTTGGAGTTGGAGTCCCTGGACGTAGTCCTTCCACTCATCACCTACACCTCTTCAGGGCTTTACGTGCTAATTCCGCTTTACTGTAGACTTTGGGCCACTGCCCCAACTTAATCAAACGAAGGTATTCACTCCTCGTCGCGGTGGGGCGGGGGACACAAGCCTTCCCGAGGCCGCAAAGCTGCTGGTCCCCATACATCCCACAACTCGCACAAAACCAAATCTTTAAATCGGCGTGAAACCTCATACAATGGGAGGGGTCCACAAACCCCCCAGCAATGTGAATGGTGGCCCCCTCAGGAAGTGCACGAAGGGAGCAATCAAGGGCAACTAACCTGAAACACGGAGACTTACGCCAGACCGAGACGCGCGCAGCCGACGCGGACCCACGGCACCGCAGACAGCGCCTGCCACACTCCGACAGGGCATGGCTCGTCTCAAAGACCGACAGAATATTCTGACTCGGAAGCGGGGGAGGGGGCGGAGGGTCGGCAGCAGCAGCAGCAAGCTCACCGAGCTCCACCGCTTCCCTCCGTCCCCGAGCTCCTCGCCTCGGGTGCCGACCGTTCAGCGGGGTCGGCTGCAGCGTCTTCTCGGCCTCCATGGCGTCGAGGTGCGACCTGAGAATCTTCATGCGGATAAGGTACAACACGCGCTCCTTTTCCGGAATGTCGGTGCGGACAGCTTCAGGTCTACGGGCTATGGTCGCACCTTCACCTGCCAAAGTGTCCGCTGCTGCATTGCCAACCGTCATCCAAGAAGAGCCCGCTCGATGCACGACATCCTCGGCCTCCAGGTGCGAGTTCGTGAATAACACTGTCACATGCTCAGGTCGCCGTCCCGTGTTATGAAACAGCAAGCCTATCTTCGCCCACAACTCAGCGTGCTCTCCAGTTGGATGACGATATTTCTGAGACCACCAACCTTCGTGCACCATCTGGTTGTCTGTCACATACGTTACATATTGTTCCGTCAGCCGCAAGGCTACCCAGAAGATATACAGCTCACCTCTGGGCACCGTCTGGACAACACCTGGGAGAGCTCCAAAGAGGGATACTTGCAGCTGGAGGTCCGTTTCACTTTCCATCTGTGCGAGACCGAGACCGATACGTCTGAACCTCCCGTCTGATGAATCCGCCCCGCCACTAGCGTCGCCAAAGAGCAGCACTGGCCTGGTACACTCACCAGGACCTAAGACTCCATCAGCAACACCATCGTTGAGCCCCGTCTGGAACCAAACCTCCTCATCAGGCGGCTCGGGTACCGCGGTCCACTGTGCTGGCATGACTCCACGGAGCCAGTACGCTGGGGCAGACTCATGTTGAGAAGCCGCTTGCATATACACCTCGTCCGACTTGGTATAGATAGGGTGATTGACGTTGTGATCGCATTCCCATATTCGATGAAAAGGTGACTCATTGCGTCTTTTGCAACGAGGACACAGCGCACATACTTGGACCTTGGTGGAGGCCTCAGCTCGACGGAGCCTCGGCCACGACCCTCCAGCAACTACCGTCGATAACAACTCTGAGAGCCTGCGCCCGCGGGGAAGCTGCTCCAGGTGCTTCAGAAGCCGCTGCAGAGATACAACATCCATGCCTTGCCCAAGACCTTCCCCACAAAAATGCCTCTCAGCAGAAGCCCACGCGAGCCTCTCCGACGATCTGTTAAAATCCTGGAAAAAAGCTTGGTGTCGTTTAAAGCCGGGGTGTCCGAATACCCAGCTTCAGGAAACCTCCACTCCGTTCCGTCGGCCATGATCCAGCAAACTGGTGATACTGGATCCCATCCCCGTTCAAGAAGAGTCAAAATCGCCGTGGACATCGGTCCCCTCGCCCACCTAGAGCGCTGATGGGGGGGCAAGCTTTTGAAATGACCAACCACCCGCGCCCACGCCTTGTGCACACGTCCTCGAATCTCTGGACGGGCGAACCACTGCTGGAGCCAAAGGTGCAAGGATTGCTGAGGGTACCTGATTCCAGGATCCAGCCCAGGCGCTTTAATGGAAAGCGTGGACACCAGACACCGACCACGGCCCCCAGACGAAACAGCGGCGGCCAAACTCCTACGAAAGGATACAAGACGTTGGCCGAAGGTGCCGTGGAGCTCCTGCCCGTAGTTGCCTGCTGCCTGTGCTCCGAGCCGTTCAAGCCTGGACGTGATAGTATACTGACGTGAAGCGCGCGCATACCGACCGACACGAGCATGCATACGACCGTGCTTGGCCACTCTCTTAGTGCGCGTAGCCCGAGCCGTCCTTCTGCCTCCTCCCTGGTCAATCCCGAGATAAGCTCCCTGAAGTTGCGGCCGAACAGTGAACCCTTGAACTTTCAAACGTTTGGCGATCTCCTTGGCATCTCCGTGGAAGGAACAAATCACGATCGACTTCGGCGAGACATCCAATTGCCACTTAACCAGCTCATTAAAGGTGGCCCCCAGACACGCAGTGACCCCCTTGACGACCGACTGCCTGGACCCCGACATCCTCTGCGATAAGTCGTCGATCCATATGCGATGGCCGAGAGCAGGATGGGTACGAGAGATACGAGCCATAACATAATGAGTCATGCACTTCGCGAATCTGGTGCCCGACCTGAGCCCTTGGATCATACTACGATCAACGAGGAATGGTTCGCATACTGCTCCGAATTGCTCCAACGTGCGCGCCGCAACACACTGGGCCAATTCCATATATAATACTACTGGAGGAAATCCCATGCGAAGAGCCGCGAACACCAAGAAATCCCATTCGATGCCGTCGTAGAACCCTTTAATATCTAACATACCGTGCCCCGTCGGAAGCTTCATCCACCCCGCAATTTCGTCAGCTAACGTGCAGTGGAAGGCTTCCACCAAAGAACTATTACCCTGTATGGCTGCATCCCGCTCCGTCTCCACAAGACTACACCAATCTCTGACTTGCTGTTCGCGGATACCCGACCAGACACGACCTATCATCCATATGAGCCCTATAACACGATCTCCTTCCACCTTCTTCGGTAACAATTTGCCGATTACCAGTTGCGTCTGATGAGGCCACGTGAGTGTAGCTTCGCATACGTTCATCAGCTCCGCAAGCTCCTCAAGGCCAGCCTGCGGAAGCCGCTCCGCATCGAGCGGAGAGAGACGATCTGCACCTAGTCCTGTCTTGGCACGCATGCGGTGAGCCATACTACGCACTTGATCCGCGGTGATGGGCTCCATGGGCTCGTCGCGTGCCGCCTCCTTGATGGCAGCACAGGCTTCGGCAAGTCGTTCCTCTTGAGAAGCGCCAGCAAACCCAATGCGTTCTAACCCTGCCGACGCAGCGCATGGAGTATCCGACGCAACCTTGGCAACGTGAGAGACGCATGGGCTCGAGGAGCACCCGGCGCTCGGCTCTGACGCCCCAGCAAAACATGGCTTGGCCTGAGGGGCCTCCGACAAAACGTTGGCGACTTGCGAGACGCATGGGCTCGAGGAGCACCCAGCGCTCGGCTCTGACGCCTCAGCAAAACATGGCGTGGCCTGAGAGGCCCCCGACAAAACGTTGGCAACTGGAGAGACGGTTGGGTTCGAGGAGCGCCCGCCGCTCAGCTCTGACGCCTCGGCAAAACATGGCGCTGAGCCACCGCGTCGACCGCTCGGCTCTGACGCTTCGGCAGAACACCTCCACGTCGAGCCTCCGCGTCGACCTGCAGATGTCCAGAGCTCCTTCCATAGCTTGCCCTTACGGTCTAAGATATCCTTGGGGTGCACCAAAACAGTACTGCCATACCAAACCTCCTCGACTGGTAGCGGTTCTTCTCGCATACTCCTGTGCAGCGTTCCCAGGGCCTCCTGAGAAGTAATCCAAGACCGAAATTCACACAAAGACTCTCGCACCGCCCGTCGCAGAGCACGTTTAGAGAGCTTGTCCGCCTGTTGTTGAAAACTAGCAATCACCACATCACGCGTGTCAGCTAAGTTCAGGAGCAAACCCGTCCAGACTTGAATCCCAACATCCTTTTGGCTCAACAGAATCTTGTCAACTCCATCGGGCTTCTCGGTAGCAAGGTGCCTGGCTGCTTGCTGCAACTGAACCAACTGAGAACGACCATTATCTCGCCCACGATGCCGCTCGAACTGCGAGAGGATAGATGCAACACGTTTCCACCAGCATGCAACTTGATCTCTCAAAGGAGCAGCTCTAGATCGCGAGCTCTGCTTGACTGACTCTTCCACGAAAGAACATCCAGTGCCCCGTCGAGGGCCCCCAGATGGCACGACCTGATGATGAGCATAAATGACATCCTCGACAGTGTTGACCCATTGAGAAAACCATGAGCTCACGAAATGAACATGGCCAGGATTGAGCCGAAAGGCTACGGAGTTGAGAAAGTGAGCAGGGGCAGGAGGGGCAACGTCCCCTTGATGCAGGGGCCTGTGCTGCTCCCACACATCTTCAGGGATGAGGAAGCTAGGCTCGACCTTCTCTTGTGGCACTTCCGAGGGTTCAGGCTCCACCTGGCTCACCGATCCACTGCTTGTGGCTGGGGGGGGGGGGGGGGGTCCCTGTGGCTGGTGGGGTAACCATTCACCTGACTACCTGACACGCCAGAGCTACAGACCCCCGAATTGACAACGATGGATTCAAGCGCACAAGCATTTTCATCAGGCCTGGACGGACCGCCAAAGTTAGGCTCATTGGCCCACGGATCCTCCTCCTCGTCTTCAAATTCAGGAAGGGGGGCCCCCTCACCAGGGACGTCGGTTTCCTCGTCCTGGGAAGGGCCTTCAACAAAAACAGAACCAGCATTTTGTGAATTCAACGCGTCCCCGAAGAGACTCAGATAGTTCTCAGAACGCTTTCCCGCGGCAATGGCAGCTTGCGCCGCCTGCTTCTTCTTGGCCACCGAGGCCTTGGATCCTGGGGTCGCTTTCACCATCGGGCGGGAAACCTGGGGCAATCTACCAGCACACTCTAGCCGTCGTGTCAGAAGCTGAAGGCCAGAAGAACGTATGGAAAGAGCCAATCCTATGTGCGGGCGCCAGGGCACGTCCATGACGGCCTCCAGCTTGATGAGGTACGGCAGGGAGGCCTCGGAGACTACCGCGTAGTCGATCAGGCTGCCCTGCACACTCGAGTCGCACGTGACCTGTACGCCAGGAGTCACAACTCGTCCCTGAACTTGTCGTAGAAAACCACTCTGAGAAAGAACACTTGGCTCCATGTTCCAATCACCCAAGCATATCCACGGCAGCTGCAAGGCTGATAACAGCCCTCCAATCTTGTGCAACCTTGAAATATTTTTGCCAGCGAGGCCAATAGATGAGAAACAGTAGACAATCAGCAGCACCATCGAGAAGCCCCGAAAGTGCAGCACCGACGCGGTGAACCCATCCAGCGCGTCGCTGCCGTCTGCCTTGAGCGCACCCGTCATCCTGGCCTCCGCGATCGGCTCGACATGAAGGTGGCCCCGTGCGAGTACCCACTCTCCTCCTTCATTGGCACGATCCTCCTGCGCCTGGCTGCCCCGTCCTGATGGTCGGGCAGCGTTAGCAATCAACCTGAGTTTTTTTCTGTCGAGCTTTGCTCTCCCATGCACGCATCTGACTCGCTCCCACGTGAGTCTCCGCACATCCCAAGATATCGAACTTGGCTGACAGATCTAGATAATGAGTCCACGCACGGTCACCCATGGCCGTGACGTTCGCAAAGAAGATGTTGGAGACGGGCTCGTTCTCGCACGAGCTCGAATCTAGTGACAAAACTGGCGCCTGCACCTCCGCCTCTGGGCGAAGCTGATCGCGGGGCGGGGCCGCAGGCGCTGACCGTCAGGCCGCGGCAGCGCCATCCTGGCCCTTGCCCTTGGCCTTGGCCTGGGCCGCAGCCTCAGCGGCCGCGAACTTGGCCGCCGAGATCTTGGCCGCCTCAGCGCGCACGGCCTCCTTCTCGGCGGTAGCCGCCGCGGGGTCGACTGCAGACGGGGCCTCCGCCGCCGCTGGCGGCGCTGGGCCACCTGCACGGCTGCCCGCGCCACCGTCGCCGCCTGCCGTCGCGCCAGCGCCGCTTGCCTCGGCAGCCTCAGACACGCCGTCGCCCTCGTCGTCGCCCTCTTCAGAGTTGTCGACCCTCCTCCTCTTGGCCGCCAACCTCTTGGCGATCTCAGCCTTTGACTTCGCAGCCTTCGCAAGCCAAGACTGCACCTCAGCGTTCTTCGCCTGGAAGCCCTCCTGCATTTGCAACAAGGTGGCGTGAATCTGCTTGAGCTCCTGCCTCTCCGTCTCCTCGCACTCCAAATTGTCCAAGTCGTCGAACAGGCTGGAGTCCCACGAGACGGTGAAAGCCTCTGGTGCCTTGGCCTCTGGAACAGTTTGCGGCCGCTGCTCTCCACCAAGGCCCTCAGCACGTGCGAGCACCTCAGCTGCCCGCGTCTTGGCGACTGCGGCTGCTGCTAGAGCCTCCGCAGCCGCCTCCTCCTTACTCTCTGCCGTGGCCAAGGACGTGCGAAGACGACGCACGTTGGCCACGCACTGGTCATGCTTGTGGCTGCAATCCCTCCAGTGGCCCTCCGCCCTCTTGTAGCTGTCGGCGGCAGAGGGGGGCGGCTCTGATACCGCAGGGCCCTTCTTCAGCAACTCAATCCGATTCTTCAACACCGTCTTGAGCTCCTGGTCATTGGTGCTCTTCATGGCCTCCATAAGGTGGTCGATCGTGGAGCTGGCCTTGGACCACGGGCCCTTCTGAGAGCTGCATTGGTCGGACTCCTGCTCCTCGAAGTCCCGCACCTCCGCCTCGTCGGCAAACGAAACCTTCCCTGGCGATTGCGATCTGGACTGGAGGCCCCCCTTCTTCTTCTTGGGGGTGAACAGGGTCACCTCGCGCTTACACTTGGTGCATATGCCCTGCCCACGGGTGATCACATCATTCCATTCGCACTTCCCGCACTGGCAGCGGCTCCAAAGCCGCGCACTACGCTCAAAGAAAGCCATGGCAGGGAAAGAGCTTGGACTGACACTCTTGCTTTTGTCACAGATGACTGGCCTCCGCAAAGGGCTCTGCTCTGTGCGCCTCAAGCGCTCCGAGCAAGCACAAGAGTCGGCACAAACAAAATGCTTGGGCCTAGGTGGCTTGAGAGGAGGAGGAGGAGGAGGAGGAGGAGGAGGAGGAGGAGGAGGAGGAGGAGGAGGAGGGAAGGGAAGAGGAGGAGGAGGAGGAGGAGAAAGAGGAGTAGTAGGAAGGGCGAGGAGAGATGGAGGGACGCGAAAGCAGGGATAAGGGATGGAGGGAGGCAGGATTGCAGGGGTGATCGTGAGGATGCTGCTGCTACTGACGACGACAATGACAGTGACGATGACAATGATGATGATGCTGATGATGATAATGATGATGATGGACATGATGATGATTGTCTGATGAGGGTGATGACGACGATGACGACTACCATGAATATGATGATGATGACCGTGATGATGATTATGATGATGATGATGGTGCTGACGATGAGGATGAATCTGAGGATGATGATGAGGATGCTGATGATGGTGATGATGATGCTGATGATGCAGCTGATGATGGTGATGACGATGAGGAGGATTTTGGGGATGATGATGATGTTGATGATGATGATGATCATGATCATGATGATATAATGGTGATGGTGATGGTGATGGTGATGATGATGATGATGATGAGGATTCAACTGATGTGGATAATGAATATGACGGTTATGATAGTGCGATGGGGATGATTCTGACGTTGATGAGTATGACGGCGATGCTGATCATAACAATGATGGAGGTGATGGTGACGATGATGACGATGATGACGATGATGACGATGATGGTGATGATGATAATCATGGCAATGCTGCTGCTGATGATAAAGATGATCATGATGATGCTGATGATGACGATGATGATGATGCTGATGACGATTCTGATGCTGACGGTCATGATGATGCTGACGATGATGACGGTGATGTTGTTGGTTGTGATGGTGATCATGACAATGATGTTGATGCTCATAACGATGATGATGATGATGACGAGGATGATGATGCTGTTGGTGATGATGATGATGCTGCTGATGATGATCCTGATGCTGATGTTGTTGCTGCTGCTGATGATGATGGTGATGATGGTGATGATGATGAAGACGATGTGGTTGATGTTGATGCTGATACTGATGATGATGATAACGATGCTAATGATGATGGTGGCAATGATGATGATGATGACGCTTATGACGCTGATGATGATGATGCTGCTGATGATGCTTAGGGGCATGATGATGATGACGGATATGATGATGCTGATGCTGATTGTGATGCCGATGATGATGATGCTTATGCTGATGGTGATGCTGATGCTGCTTATGGTGATGATTGTAATGCTTGTGATGATGGTGATGAGGTCGGTGCTAAGGATGATGATACTGATGCGGGTGATGACGCTGCTGATGATGATGATGCTGATGATGCTGATAAGGATGATGATGATGATGATGATGATGATGATGATGATGATGATGATGATGATGATGATGTTGATGATCATCATGATTGTGACGACGATGATTATGACGATGATGAGGGAGGAGGAGGAGGAGGAGGAGGGAACTGCTTTGTTGGAACACAACCGTTCGAAGACCCTAATGCATGCCAAAACATCGTTCTCGGGATTCCAACGCCACGGATCAACCTGGCTGTTGCGTCTTGACAGTCCTGCATGGTGCTAGAACACCATTCCTGGGACTCCAACGCAGCGAATCAACATAACTGTTGCACCCGCATAATCATGAATCCTTCAACACACCTTTTCTGATACGCTGACGATGGGAACCCGTGAAACTCTTGCAATTTTCTATAACGAATGTGCGCTGCGCTGCGGCGAAAGCCGTATTTTGAAACGGAACCGCCCTCAATCCGTTAAGTTCTTGCACTTTTTAGAACGAATGTGCGCCGCGCCAAGGCAACAGCCACATTTTGAAAAGGAGCCCGCCCACAATCCGTGAAGCTCTTGCACATGTTTAGAACGAATGTGCGTCGCGCTAAGGCGAGAGCCACATTTTGAAAACGAACCGCCCTCAATCCGTGAATATGAGCCGCGCTCAGGCGAGAGCCACATTTCGAACACGACCCGCACTCTATCCATGAAGCTCTTGCAAATGTTTAAAACGAGTGGACGCAGCGCTAAGGCGAGAGCCACATTCTGAAAACGACCAGCCCTCCATTTGTGAAGCTGTTGCCACGTTTCAAGCTTCCGAGTCATAAGTGGTGAGGAAGTTTCAGGCGAAACGCCCAGCCCGCCCTAAAGCTGGTTTCTAGGTGTGACAGGGAGAAGTCACTTATAAGGAAATGGAGCTGAGGAGAAGGAGGACGAGGAGGAGGAGGAGGATAATGATAATAGAGGAGGATGGAGGAGGATGAGGTGAGGGAGGCCGGAGGACCCAGTCCTCCAGTGTCTAGCACGTCCCGCCGCCGTCCAGGAGGACGCCAGGGCGGTGGAGCCCCCAGTGGCCCCGCTGGTCGTCGGGATGGCCAGCCGCCTCGCCGCGCTGAGGGAGGAGGACCGCCGCCTGGATCGGAGGGTCGAGGGTCGAAGCGGACCGAGGAGGATCGAGGAGAATCGACGAGGTTGAGGTCAACGAGGATCGAGAAGGAGGATGATGATGAGGAGGAGGAGGAGGAGGAGGAGGACCAGTGTAAACCCAAAGGTCCTTAGCGATGTTGGAAGACACCCTCCCTCCAAGCTCTCTTTCCATAGGTCCCTACAAGGGTTCACTTCCACTGAGGGAATTACCTCGTTGGAAAACAACCGTTTGACGACCCTGACGCATGCCAGAATATCGTTCTCGGGATTTCAACGCCGTGGATCAACCTGACTGTTGCCTCCTGCGATCCTGAGTCGTGCCAGAACGCCGTTCTTGGGACTTCAATACCGCGAATCGACTTACTTGTTGCGCCTTCATAATCCCGAATCCTTCCAAAACGCCATTCCTGATACGCTGATCATGGGTACCCGTGAAACTTCTGCATTTTCTGTAAGAAAAACGAATGTGCGCGGCGCTAAGGCGAGAACCCCATTTTGAAAAGGAGCCGCCCTCAATATGTGAAGCTCTGGGAAATTTTTAAAACGAATGTTCGCCGCGCTAAGGCGAGAGCTACATTGTGAAAACTCCGCCTTCAATATGTCTAGCTTTTTGGTTTAAAACGAATGTGCGTGGCGCTTAGGCGAGAACCACATTTTGAAAACCACCCGCCCTCAATATGTGAAGCTCTTGCACATGTTTAAAACGCATGTGCGCGGCTTTAATGCGAGAGCCACATTCTGAAAACGGCTCGCCCTCCATCTTTGAACATGTTGTCAAACTTTAAAGTTCAGGGTGATAAGTGGTGAGGAAGTCACGCGAAACGCCCCGACCGCCGTAAAGACTGTCCTAGGGGTGCGACAGGGGGAAGTTATTTATCATCAGAGTCAAGGGTCCGAGTGATCATTCATTCTCCCTGGGCGCGTGGCTGAATAAGGAACTCGTGGTGAGAATCCTGTTTGTTGCGTAGTTGCTGTTGCTGTTGTTGTTGTTATTGTTGTTGTTGGTAGTCGTCGTCCCACCCGCGACCCACCCGCGACCCACTCCGCGACTCACCCCGCGACCCACCCCGCGACCCACCCAGCGACCCACCCGCGACCCAACCTGCGACCCACCCGCGACCCACCCCGCGACCCACCCGCGACCCACCCGCGACCCACCCGCGACCCACCCCGCGTCCCACCCGCGACCCACCCCGCGACCCATCCGCGACCCATCCGCGACCCACCCGCGACCCAGCCGCGACCCACCCGCGACCCACCCCGCGACCCACCCTCAAGGGAGGAAAAGCCACCTGGACCCTACAATTGACGTTTGCTAAACGGCCTTGGGCGTTGACTAAACAGTCCTGCCCTGTTCGATTCAGCCCTCGTGTGCGTTTACTAGACGGCTTCGCTTGTCGGTGTGATTATAAAAGGGTGGATTTTCTGCCCTCTACACCCACGACCCACCCGCGACCCAACAGCGACCCACCCGCGACCCACCCGCGACCTAGCCACATTGGTTTAACGAAGAAGTCGGCGCCTGCGGCGGGCTCGTTGTAAAATGTGTGAAACTTTGGTGCCTGGGGCCGGTTTCCCCAGAGTCTCGCAAACTGCCGATGTCCCCACCGCCCCCCCACTCTTATCCGCATTTGCGAGGTGCTACATCAGGAATAGGAATGGAGGAGGAAAAGAAGGACAGATGAGGAAGAGGAGGAGGAGGAGGAGGAAGAGGAGGAGGACAGGAGGAGCAGGAAGAGGACAGGAGAACTAGAATTGATGAGGAGAAGGGGGAGGAGAAGGAGGAGGATGACCAAGGCAGAGGAGGAGGAGAAGGAGGAGGAAGATTGGGAAGAGGAGGGGGATGATGATGAGGAGTAGGAAGAGGAGGGATGAGGATGATGATGATGATAATTAAAATGAAAATGAAGATGATGATGCTGATGATGATGGTGGTGCTGGTGATGATGGTTTTGACACTGCTGGAGATGCTGCTTATGATGATGACGATGATGCTAATGAACATGATAATAATAATGCTGATACTAATGGTGATGATGATGATGCTGATGATGATGATGATGTTGATAATGCTGATGATGCTGATGCTAATGCTGACGATGATGATGACGATGGTGATGGTAGTGGTGATGATGATGCTGATGGCGATGCTGATGATCATGATGGTTAGATGATGCTGATGATGATGCTGATGCTGTTGATGATTCTGATGCTGATGACGATGACGATGACGATGCTGATGCTGCTCATGATGATTATGTCGATGATGATGATAATGGTGACCATGATGGTGATGATGATGATGATGATGATGATGATGATGATGATGATGATGACGATGGCTGTTGTGGTGGTGGTGGTGATGATCATGGTGGTTGTGGTGGTGGTGGCGGTGAGGATGCTGTTGTTGATTGTTCTGGCTGTGATGCTGATGCTGATGATGATGATGATGATGATGATGATGGTGCCGATGCTGATGATGCTGCAAATGCTGATGATGACGATGGTAATGACGATGATGATGATGCAGATCAATGCTGGACCTAAACGCTGTTTTGCTGGACTTCGGCTGTGTTTATGTGTTTCGTTTTGGGAGGTGCAGGAAAACAGGTACAGCAAAACGACACACATAACGACACGCAAACGAACAACGCTTAGGTTCAGCCCTGATGCTGATGATGATGATGATGTTGATGCTGCTGTTGCTGATGTTGACGCTGACATTTCTGATGCCGCCGATGCTAATGATTCTGCTCTGATGCTGCCGATGCCTCTGATTCTGCTGGTGCTGCCGCTGCTGCTGCTGCTGATGAGCATGATGATGTTGCTGCTGCTGATGCTGCTGATGCTGCCGCTGCTGCTGCTGTTGATGGTGATGAGGCTGCTCATGATGATGGTACGGAGGACTATGATGATGACGATGATGATGATGCTGACGCTGATGCTGTTGCTGATGATGACGACGATGATGATGCTGATGTTGCTGATGATGATTATGGTACTTCTGATGATGAGACGATGATCATCCCGATGGTGATATTGACGATGCTGATGATGATAGTGATGATGAGAATGATGATGATGATGATGATGATGATGATGATGACGCTGATGCTCATGATGATGATGTTGATGCTGATTGCGATGGTGATGCTGCTGATGATGATGCTGATGATGCTGATTCTGCGGCTGATGATGTTGATGATGCTGATACGAATGTTGACGCTGATGATGATGATGGTGATGAATGCGATGATGATGCTGATGATGAGTATGATACTGATGATACTGATGATGCTGATGGCGCGTATGATCGTTGTGGTGGTGATGCTGATGCTGACGATGATGATGCTGATGCTGCTGATGCTGATGCTTATGATGCTGATGATGATGACGCGGATAATGCTGATTATGCTGATGATGTGAATGATGATAATGTTGCTGCTGCTGCTGCTGATGATGATGCTGATGATGATGATGATGATGATGATGATGATGATGATGATGATGATGATGATGATGATGATGATTAGTATATTTATGATGATTAGCATGCTTGTTTTTACCATTAAATGATTATCATCATTACTCGGAGTATTTCTGTACTACTATATCTTATTTTATGCCAGCAGTCGTATCATTCTTCTGACTATCTTATTATTTTTGTTCTTATTACCAACCCTCCTGTGGTGATGGGTACTCGTTTTGAATCGAGCAGGGTGGTTTCCACCTCCTCCTCCTCTCCTCTCCTCCTTCTCGCCCGTCTCCTGATTTCCCGTCTCCTCTTTTCTTGTGCGGTCGGGCTGCGATATGCGCAACTGCCGCTACTTTCGTGGGCTCCTGGGAGGCCCAGCGGAGGTACGTCATACGCGGACCACCTCGGGACCTCGCCGCCCCCTGGGGGCTTGCGATCTGCGCAACTGTCGCCACTTTCATGGGCTGCTGGGAGGCCCAGCGGAAGTACGCCATACGCGGACCACCGCGAGACCTCGCCGCCCCCTTGGGGGCTTGCGATCTGCGCAACCGTCGCCACTTTCGTGGGCTCTTGGGAGGCCCAGCGGAGGTACGTCATACGCGGACCACCTCGGGACCTCGCCGCCCCCTGGGGGGCTTGCGATCTGCGCAACTGTCGCCACGTTCGTGGGCTCCTGGGAGGCCCAGCGGGGGTACGTCATACGCGGACCACCTCGGGACCTCGCCGCCCCCTGGGGGGCTTGCGATCTGCGCAATTGTCGCCATTTTCGTGGGCTCTTCGGGGGCCACCAGAGGTACGTCATACGCGGACCACCTCGGGACCCCGTGGCCCCCTGGAGGGCTTGCGTTCTGCGCAACTGTCGCCACGTTCGTGGTCTCCTAGGAGGCCCAGCGGAGGTACGTCATACGCTTGTGGAAATCGATTCATGGAGGGGAAGCATGCTGCCAAACAATTTCCATATGTCTAGAACATGTGTCAACCATGATTTAAGTCTGTAGAAGCATGTTTGCAACATGTTTAGAACACGTTTTACACGTTTTGAGCGCATTGTTGATTCAAGGGTAGGATTGTTAGAGCGTCCATAGTCATGGCATCCACAATCATACGCGGACCACCTCGGGATCTCGCCGCCCTCTGGGGGGCTTGCGATCTGCGCAACTGTCGCCACTTTCGTGGGCTCCTGGGAGGCCCAGCGCAGGTACGTCATACGCGGATCACCTCGGTACCTCGCCGCCCCCTGGGGGGCTTGCGATCTGCGCAACTGTCGCCACTTTCATGGGCTGCTGGGAGGCCCAGCGGAGGTACGCCATACGCGGACCACCTCGGGGCCCCGTCGCCCCCTGGGGGGCTTGCGATCTGCGCAACTGTCGCCACTTTCGTGGGCTGCTGGGAGGCCCAGCGGAGGTACGTCATACGCGGACCACCTCGGGACCTCGCCGCCCCCTTGGGGGGCTTGCGATCTGCGCAAGTGTCGCCACTTTCGCGGGCTCCTGGGAGGCCCA